GCGTGCCTTGCCCTTGTCTGGGCATTGTGCGGTAGTGTGTACTACACTGTTGCACCATAGGCAGTATGCGTACTTCTGACGTAGGTCATAGACCTCCTTGGTGATCTTATAAGYCGTCCATGGCTGYTGCCCAGCTCCCGTCGCCGCTGTCCCTTGTATCGCCTTGTTCTTGCGAACTCTCTTCGGRTGCTTCGGCGGGAGCGCTGCGACAATTCCTCCATCACTCGAGGATGCTGCTGCAGCGTGGTGGTCGTCGATTTCTTCAGAAAACACGGCATTGTTATGTGCCGGACGTTGATAGGTCTGCTTAGCCACATAGTGCGGCTGGGATTGTCTCTCGTTAGCGGCCTTGTCGTCCGTTTGGATGACCAAGTTCGCTCGATCCAGAATGGCCTGGAATGTGGTATAGTCGTACTCATTACCGAGTGCCGACTGCAATCCCGCGCACGATCGCGAGAAGAACTCGGATCGTTGATTTGGAAACGTCAAGTCGAAACCTGTTGTGGTCACTATCTTTTGCCACTTCGTTGTCCAGTCTCGAGTTGGCATGTTCCCTTGAGAGCATGTGTACACCTCATTCATGGCCGCCTTCACAATGTTGCGGACCATGAACCGGGTGAACCATAGCTGCTCGAACTCCTTCCACGTAATGTGCGTGTGGAGTTCGGCGATAGTGCACTTGTGTGTAGCCGCTAGGTGGTTCATCCATCCCTGCGCTCCTCCAATCAGCTGCAGATATAGTGCCTTCAACATGTCGTCCGCCGGGACCATGCGGCATGATGCTTCCGTGAGGAAGCGTTGCCACCATGACAAGGCGTCCGACTTGTTGTAATCGTCGAACTTGCTGATGTCGAAGTGCGGCATCTTGAACGTCTTTGTAGCGGCTTCTGGTCTCGTCTGTAGCTTGGTGATGTCCGTCTTGATGGCGGCCACCGTGYTGCTGATCGAGTCTGGTCCGTTGAAAGTACTTATGTCGCCGATGATGGTGACGAYGTGATCGATGCGCTCGTTGAGTTGCTTCGTCACGTCTGTCGTGCAGCCTGGCGCTGCTGAGGCGTTAGCCTCTATGCTGTTGACGCGTGTGATAGTGGAATTCAACAGTTGATGCTGTTGATGCTGCTGCATTGCCTCTGTGCGGATAGCAGTTGTTAACGTAGTCATATCATTCTTGTATGTTTGTCGCTGCGTCGCGTTCGTGCGCAGATGTGATTGTAGCAGTGTATTATTCCACATAATACCTCTCATCATGCCCAGCAGCAAGTTAGCCAGGTTACTTCTCTCTGCCTCCGCCGGTGTCGGGTCTGCCTGCGCTTCTGTAGACATAAAGATCATGTCTTGGAGTATCGTCGTCCACTGATGCTCACAAGCAATCAAGGACTCCGTGCTGCTGGCATTCCGTCTGTCTCGTGTCDCTGCGTCAGTCTCAGTCGTTCGCTGAGCTTCGGCTGCCGCTTCATTGGCTAGCCGCTGACGTTCTGCCTCTGCTGTCTCCTTCCGGGCCTCGACGGCAGCTACGGCTTCCGTAAATGCCAGTAGCCGCCCACGATAATCAACCGCTGGCTCATTGGCTCCTCGGACAAGGTATGCGGGATGATCTCCGGTGGCGTCTAGTACCGTCAATGCCGTACTTGATGCTGCTGGAGTCGTCCGCCTGCTGAGTTTCTTCGGTCTTGGAGGTACTGCAGGGCGGGCACATACTGCGATTCTGGCACTGCGTCGTGGCAGTGCCCCGGTGTCCTGTTCCGTCGACATCAGTCTGAACCGATGCGGTACTTGAGAAGTCCCGGTAATCACAGAACACGGGGGGTAGGGAGAGTGGGAACAGGGGTAGAACAATCAAGCAATATACATACACCCCTGTCCCACTGATGGACTGTAGACACCTAATCAAATGGAAAAAATAAATTTCCCGTAAACCCTTCGAAAAATTCGTAATAAGGAATTTATAACGATTTAATCAATCAAATTAATTAATGATAATTAACGAAATAAATCCGAATGATAATC